TATTGCATCAAAGAAACATTTTCGAATGTTAAGATGATCGTTAGATGCTCGTTTATCAGTTCTTTATATGCAGTATACCGCCACCAAAATTATGTTTTCAATATATAAATGATTTATTTTCATTTTTGGGTTTTTGTTGTTGGTTTGTATATATAATGTAATAACAATGAGTATGTGTGGTTGTTGTTGTTGGTTTGTGTATCTACGTCAAAAATATAAATAAAATATTTATCATCACAGGATCGATAAAAAAAGAATCGTGTAATTTTGTTTGTATGTATTTTGTTGTAATTTAAATTGTTGTTAATGGTGCTATTGTTGCGGATGAGGCAATCAAATTGTTAGTTGCCTGCTGCAATATGTTGTTGTCTCCACTGGATTCAACGTCATCATTGTCATCTATTTCTGCGGCCGTAAATGAATATTGGGTTGCTGCACTGCAACTAAATGTTTGTCATTGACGCGGCTGAATTGTCGGTCCTTGCTCTCGGTAGGTCTTCAATTTTGTTTCGATTGCCTGCAAAAGAGAACAAATGTATAAATTGTATTAAATGGTGAAGAAGATATTTATTTATTTTATTTATTAAAGATTCATATACAATACTAAGCCTTCAGTGGCCAATTTAGTGTATCTCATGACAATTAAAACCAGAGTTATATTATACAAATAAAAAAAAACTATGTAACTACATTAATTTTCAAATTAAATTTTAACATGCGAATAAAAAAAATCAAAATGAAAGATAAGAAGAAGGTATCCGGTGGTGTGAGTGTTAAAAAAACACAATCATATAGTACGTTTACATTGTACTGGATTTCGTTAAACCAGTAGGTTTAAATCAATTACAATGCATATATGTCAAATAAATCTTCATTAGGTAGGTTAACCTGGTAAAAAGTTGTAGTGTATATGCTGTTATACTTTCCAATTTCTATGTTAAATTTGTAAAAAAAAGTATACTGATTGATATAGTTGTACATGTAAAACAAAAGTTTTTATACCCATCAGATAAAAGTATATCATTCGGGATAACGACATTTGGAATGTTGACTGTGGCGTTTGTCAAGTCTACTTTCAACAGAATACAAGTCCAATAGTGTTATAACCGGTTTAAGGAAGGCCAAAAGGTTATCATGACGCCGATCGTCCTGGTCATTTAAGCACATCAACGACCCATTTTCGATTTCAAATTCAATCAACAATTTTCAAGAAGATTGAAAGAAGAAAATAAATTGACAATCAGCCTTATTCTGGATATTCGCTAGGGAGAGATCTCGTTTGTGAAAATGTTTTTGCTTTCACATTCTCGCCTGATTCTGAATGAATAGGGAGAAGCAAAAAATACGAGATGCGGATTCCAATTTTTGAAAATTGTGGTTAAAAAAAAGATTTGTGTTGCCTTATTGTAATTTAAGTTGTAATGTGTGTTGCCCCCACTGTAATTTAATTTGGTAATATTTTTCAATATTTTATTTATTGTTTTTTTTTTTTTTAATTTTTACTTTTTGTTGTTGTTTAAACTTTACGGGGCGTACCAAGGCACATATATTAGGTAGTCGCATCGTCGAATTACTACAACAAAGCAACTTTTTTGGGAACATAATATGTCAAAATTTGTAAACAAGGCAAATAAAATTCAATTCGCCTTGACATTTCAAAATTTAGGCAAATTTGATTCAACCAATCAGAACAAAATGTTTTAATACCCTACACACCTATGTTAAAACTATGTGTTGCCTCAAGAGTTTGTAGCTGCACTATTCGTAGACTCAAATTTTTGTATATCGTTTATCATATGTCCGTTTGTCAATTATAATTTGTAATCTGATTATCATGATCCAAATCAAATGGCGATTGAAAAAATTATCTTCTGAAAACACAACATTAGCACTATTTTGAATAAACAGTTCAGTATGTGTCGGCATCTTTCAATAATTTCCCTTGATGAATTCTGGAAATTTTGTATGTATATACGGTTCTGACATAAGTCTACTTCTATTGGTTTTGGTAGTGTCCGGTTTATGTTTAGAGGCCACAATTATAACCCAAACCCAGGAAATTACGAAGATGGGGATCTGGCCTACGAATTAATATCAGTGTTTTCATAATAATCGTTCAATATTTAGGGCGTCAAATATATTTTATTTGAAAAATCGCTAACTTTGAATTGTATGTTCTAAAAGATATAGATCAAAGACTGCAATTGTATTAATGTATGTACACAGAGGTGGTATTTACACACACTCCAATATCGGGTCGATCGCTATGAGGCGCATAAAGTTCAAAGATGTCACAAATCCTTAGTTCATATACCATATATTCATGTTCATGTGGAGAAGTTCCATATAGTGTCAATTTTCAAATGTTTTACTCCCTCCATCATAAAGTGGAGTTTATATTCCATTTGTCACAGCCCTTTCGTTCAGACTCATTTCTTGTAGCTTGGGCATGTTACAGTTCAAACTACAAGAAATGAGTCGTGCATCTACATACTCGTGAGGCAATCCATACTTTTAACATAGATGTGTAGGTTGGAATAAAATCACGAAACTTCAATTTTATTTACAAAAAAAATTAATTAATTTTTAAGGCGAATTAAAAATGACAACAATTTGTTTTGACATTCAATGTTACAATCAACTGGGTCGATGCGACTACCTAATACATCTACCTTGGGGGCGTACATAAAAATTCAACTTCTCCACTTTTGCAAAATGTTGTGTACGCCCGTATTACCCAAAAACGTCGAATCAATATCTTCAAGCGAATAATACAAACCGTAAAACAAAATTGAAAAATTATTATATTAATCCAAATATTTTATGTTCACATTCGAAATTTCACATTTTCTGAATGTTTTGTTTTTATTTTCAACAAAAGAAGAAAAAAAACAAAAAACACGTTCTGTCAGAGTTGAAATTGTTCAACTTTATTTAAGATTGCAAATAAAAGAACATTTTTATGATGGCAAAAATCCGTTCAATGCGTTTGTCAAAGACACAACGAATAATGGGAAGAAATCTGCAATTGAATTAAATTAATTCGCAGTTTATTATTTCACTACATAATTGTGCGAATTTATATTTAATTTCGATATGTTATCTCCCCAAATTCTTAAAGTGGCCAATTATTTTATTATTCGAATAAAACAAAACGTAAAACAAAATTGAAAAATTATTATATTAATCCAAATATTTTATGTTCACATTCGAAATTTCATATTTTCTGAATGTTTTGTTTTTATTTTCAACAAAAGAAGAAAAAAAAACAAAAAACACGTTCTGTCAAAGTTGAAATTGTTCAACTTTATTTAAGATTGCAAATAAAAGAACATTTTTATGATGGCAAAAATCCGTTCAATGCGTTTGTCAAAGACACAACGAATAATGGGAAGAAATCTGCAATTGAATTAAATTAATTCGCAGTTTATTATTTCACTACATAATTGTGCGAATTTTTATTTAATTTCGATATGTTATCTCCCCAAATTCTTAAAGTGGCCAATTATTTTATTTTCCTTCTCATTTATTTCATCTTTCAAATCATGTACACGATAAAATTGTCCCTTTGGGCTAGATTCTCGTTTATGAAATAAAAATTGAAATTTGAAAGAAAAAATATTTTTTTGTAGCGGATCATCAGGCAAATTTGGCTATGTGGTTTTTCCATAATTTTTAATATTTTTTTCTGGAGAGGATTTGCATATAATATTCAAAATCGTCATAGAATAAATATTGTGTACATATTTTTCATAAACTTATTATATACTTATATTTCTATAGTTAGCTCCCTTTAAATTTATTAGCGAAAAATTTCGCACAAAACTACAAAACTAACTAGTTTTTCCCAAAGTGGATCCATTTCGCTTTCGAACTTGATTCAGAATAAGGGGAAAGTGAAAATGCAAATAAAACTCGCTGCGAGTTTTTGTTTCGAATAACAGAATACAAGTCCAATTGTAGTATAACCGGTTTAAGGAAGATATTGACCGATTAAATTTATTCTAGTTTACACGATAGCTTTGTAGGTCCAGAACAACGTGTAAAATATCTGATTGGATCAATAGTTTTTGAGGTATCGTGCCCGTCATTCGCAAAAACACTGTTTTGAGAAAAACGCGTTTAAAGTTTGAGAAGCACTTCTGGCGTCGCTTGATGCTGACACAATTAATCGGCTATATCTTCAGGAGTATTTGAGATTTTCACGTTATTTGGAAGATGTAGATTAAAATTAAATAAAAATAAAAAACAACAATAAAAATTAAAGTATTTTATAGAAAAATCAATAAATAAAATATTGAAAAATATTATAAAATTAGTTTACAATGGGTAATGGATAAATTTCAATATAAAAACACGTATCATTTTTAATTATTCCATTATCGAAAAATTTAAACTCTTGATCTTCCTTCTTCCCGTTCCAGGAAATCCAACTTATTATTTTTTTCATCCACTGTGTATTTCTTTAGCCCAGTTTCTAAATCTAACAGTAAAAAATATGTTTTATGGAAAATAAACATGGTTCATGAAAGTAAAATATTTTTGAATAAAAGATACTTCTTTGTAGCTGAGCCCCAATTACAGAAGTCGGATAAGTTTAATGAATTATTTAAAAAGCTTAAAAAGTGTATATTTCTGCAGCACCTGACTGGATTCCAGTTCAAATTATCTAAAAGCATCATATTTTTGGGATATTAAAAAATAATTAGAAACAAATAAACAAAACAACGAACAAAAAAACGAATAATGTATACAAAAATAAATACATGTATTTATTAAAATAGAAATAATTAAGATATACATATTTAATTTTGTAAAATAAAGTAAAACTATACTTAAATTAAATACACATAAAAAAAAACTAAACACAAAAAACTATTAAATACTATCTAAGACTATATCCACGGTTTGTCATAGCATCAGTCCTTTCGAAAGAAATTTTGTAGGTAATCTCATCTATATATCTCTTTTTCATTATTCTTTTTTTTCTTTTCTCACAATTATCGTGGATCACTTTGTACCTCGTTTATCGAATGCGATGACGTTCTCATATTGGTGACAAAAAAATTATTATTGGCACTCATACGTTCGGCGAAACGTTTAAAAATATTTGTGCCGAAATTCAAACTTGTATTACTGCGACTGGCTGAACGTCTCAGTAAAACGTTATTGTTGTCCGTAGAATCCTCACTTGCATTTGGTAGGCTATTACAATTTAAAGTGTCTATCGATTTTTGGGATGTTCGGTTGTCCACCAGGCTAGTGGCATTTGTTACCAAATCACTTGGTATACGACGTTCACATATACAACGAAATCGTTCACACTGATGACACAAAAGTGCTTTATCCAACTGAAATATAGTTTATAACGGAATGACATACACACATATATAACACAAATATATATAGTTTTTTACTAAAATGTTCATAGGTTAATTAGTTAGACTTCGTAGTTTTGAGAATTTCCAATGGTTGAAATTGTGTTAGTGTATTCATAAAAAGAGTTTGTTTTGAGTACAATGCAATATGAATTAGAAAAATAAAAAACAAATAAAGAAAAAATTGTTCAATATATTTTTATATTATACAAATACAGGTCGGTGGTTTGCTTTAGGGATTTGTTTTATAGATTACATGGGGATTCCTAGTTACCATTTCTACTCTGCCAAATTTCTCGAGTAAAAAGTTTACAAAGAGAGCGCCATTTTTTTGTGTTCTCTTAAATTTGGTTCAATGAATTGCTGTTTTTGTAATTAAAGAAAAATCCTTCTTTTCGATTCGAATCTCCAAATTCCAACACAATTAGAAAGACTACATATCTAACTCTGGTATGAACTAGGATTATTGGCTTCCCTCGAAAATCAACAAAAATTGCCTATTTTCGACCAACAAATAGGGAAGTCTTCACCGATTGTATTTATCCTAGTTCATATGTATGTCCAGAATAACGTGTTAAAGTTTGGAACCGATTGGATCAAATGTTTTTGAGTTATCATGCACGGCAATCATAAAAACACTGTTTCAAGAAAAAGGTATTTAAAGTTGCTTAATGATGACGCAATAAATCGGCTATATCTTTAAGAGTTGTTGAGATTTTCACTTGCGATTTTATTGAGACATTCTTGTGAAGTTGTAGGTTCATATAAAATAAAGATTGGTCAGCTAAGTACTTCGCTTTGTTACAAGAGACATTTGGGTATGAAGAGTTTTTTGTATAGAAGCAATAGCTTCTGGGGAGAATATCCCAAGAAAAAACTAAGGAACTGATGAGGATCGGTGGCGTGATCCGAAACTATAGTCTTCCCTGCCTTACCCCTCGGCAAACAATGCCATACATTCCCCACTAATAAATAGTTGTTTTTTTATATAAAAACAACAAACTGGGATTCAGCCTGACTATTTTGCAAAAACAAAATAAAGATTAAATAATTTATTGAAACCGATAATGGGAGAAGTTCACCTTAAACAAATTTGATGGGGTTTCTTTAAAGATGACTACAAGAACTCAAATTTAACTACGTTTACAGTGTCAATGACATCATTATTTATAATTTCAGTTCAAATGATACACCAAATTTAAAGCAATGGACATGTCACTGTCGGATGTCAAAGTTATATCTGTTATAATTTGTGTATGAAATATTTATAATGAACTTCTTCAAACAGCAGGGATTATGATGTATTTGGATGTGCTGAATGACAATTGGATAAATGTAGCTGCAATAATGAATATATTGTAGAGAAAAAGTGAAAAAAATTTTAATGAAGGTTAAACAAACAAATAAGAACCGAATATGGATTATTTCAAAATGAAACATTTTTTAAATGAAATTGTTATTAAATAGAAAATCATTCGAGTGGTCGTCGCACAATTTGATGCTCATATTACTTTCATTGCTATACCACGGCAGATATAAATTGAGAGAGAATACGAGTGGTTTGTTTTGAGGAAAACGTAAAGGGCTGAGCAACACTGATATAAAGCGTGGAAAACACAGACATAGGAGAATGCTCTTTGTAAAGAAACTAGTTAGAAAGTATCAGTCGGTTTTGGCGACAGATTTACTATTATTTTGACTATTATTTATTATGACCAATCAGGGTATATACCCTTTGCTACAAAAATAATGAGCCTAGTCGAAATATTGGTTTTAGATCCCATTTTTTCTTTGGGCCAAATCTGTTTCAGAAAATTTGGAGTCGATTTACAAGGGTTCGTCCATATGTCTGTCTTGCCGTCTGGTGCGCACGACAACTCTCGTGTCCACTCCTTCTGGTATGTGCAGAATTAGGCACATCGTAACTTTTCCTTCAAACTAAAATTAGGTTCGAAGATGGGGAGAATCGGTCCACTCCTTCTGTCTGGTATCACCCCCACAAAATTGTATTGAAAATGTATTAATAATATGCGAACAGAGCATCCAATTCAAGCCAACCATTGGACAACCTAATATTTTAATCATGCCTGTATATTGAAGAGAGATGGGACCGATAAGTCCCCTCCTTCAAGTACCTTCCCCACAAAGGGTCAAAAGTTTGAAAATGTGAATTTAATAACAATGTTATGTATTCCTTTCAAAATTAATTAAAGTTGAAAAATGGGACCCATCGGTAAATTCCTAATTATATAATATCAGGCGATCGGACTATCCGATTTGAACTAAACTTTGCACAACTTAATCTGCTTCATTCTGGATATTCGCTAGGGAGAGATCTCGCTTGTGAACATTTTTTCGCTTTCACATTCTCACCTTATTCTGAATGAGTAGGGAGAAGCAAAAAATGCGATATGCTGATTCGAATTTTCGAAAATGGTGGATGGAAAAAGATTCGTGTTGCCATTGTAATTTAATTTTGTAATATTTTTCAATATTTTATTTAATGATTTTTTTTAATTGTTACTTTTTTGTTATTTAAACTTTGTAAAAAAATAAAAGTGAAATATGAAGAAACCGATTTAAAACTGTTTTGTAATTAAAAGAAAATATATTAAAGTTTGAAAATATGGCAACATAGAACGGCATGTGAAACAGCTGTTTATTGTTTGGATGCAATTTGGTGCAACAAATAAAATAACATTTTCTATTATGGCAAAAACCGCATTGAACGATGTCAAAGACACAACAAATAATAGGAAGAAATCTCCGATTGAATAAATTAGTTGGTAATGTATTATTTCACTACATAATTGTGTGCCTTTTTATTTAATTTCGATATTTATCCCCCAAATTCTTAAAGAGACCAATTATTTTATGATATGCTCCCCCTCCTTTATTTCGTCTTTCAAATCATGCACACCATAAATTTGAAAGAAAAAATATTTTTTTGTAATTATAGTTTTCATAATTTTTAATATTTTTCTGGAGAGACAGATCCTCACACAAAATGTATTTTTTCCGCCTCCAAATTGCATCAAACTCGGCTTAAATATTCCTTATTGCCTTTATACATTCCGTGGCAATATTTAGCATACAACCATTTATAATAAACAAAAATTGTCATAGAATAAGTATTGTGGAGACATTTTTCATAAAAATATTTAATACTTATATTTTAGTAGTCAAATTTAAATTTATTAGCGTAAAATTTCGCTAATTTTTCCCAAAAGAGGTTCTTTTTTTGCCTTCGCGCTTAATTCAGAGTAAGGGGAAAGTGAAAATGCGAAAAAATTGCGATGAATTTATGTCCAGAGTAAGGTTGGTGGGTAAGGTCTTTCATTTCTTTCATTGATTATTTAGATTTTTTCATTGTTTTCAAATTGGATAAAACACTTTGTAATCGATTTTTGGTTAGCACGAATAGTTCATATACAATCGGACATGCATAGACAAATTAAAAAATAAAATACAAAATATACTATATCAAATTTCAACACCACACACCAATTATACAAATAAGGAAATTAAAAACAACAACACAACTAAATAGATTGTCAGAAAACATAATCCATCTACTTACATTGATTTTTCTGAGCATATCGGCAACAATATTTAATGCAGTTGTACGTGAAGAAGCGGTCATTGCTGCATTGCCATTAAGTAAATTATCCGGATCGACAAATGGTTTTCCTAAACAAAAAAATATAACAGAAAACACACATAATTACCAATTAAGAAAATTTCAGGAGGTTATTTTTTTAAACAAAACACAAATACAAATGAAGCTAGAAGCTAGTGATGAGTTTCTATTATAGGATAAATAAATATATTAAACAGTAGGTAGGCATGGATAGAAAATATAGTTTTACAAAAATCAAATCAAAAGGGGGACACCACACACAACAACACATTACAATTTCAAATAGGATTACACTAAACTCGATTTATAGCCTTAACTTCTAGATGAAACTCTTTCATTTTTTATATTGATGATATGTATTTTTTTTAATTTATTTGATGATGATTATGGACGTGATGTATCTTTACAATTATTCTTACAATAGTTTATACAAGAAAATAAATAAAACAAAATATTTCATTAACTTAAAACGAAACATAAATAGCTTTTGGTTCACTAATAAAAAAATACAAATGTTTCTATAATGATTTCGAGTATAATTTCTAGGCAAATTAAAATGCGGAAATGATGCATAACATTACCAATTGCCAGCTTTTGAATTTCAATTATAAAAAGAATATATAATTATTTTTTATAGAAATGGAATCTTGTATAAAACATTTTAAATGTCTATTTTTGTATTTAAAGTGTTATGGTTTTACAAGTAAAAGATCGGTTAATTGCCGACAAGAAATATTCTGAACTAAACATTAGTTAATTGATGAGTGTATACAAAGAACAAAAACAAAGTGACTCAATTTTCAACACTAATCCATCAAAAATTGTGAGTATTGGAAATAATAAATTAATTTCAATAAAAAAATACAAAAAATATTAATTTAAGATTTTTACATTTTATGAGCACAAGAAACACTGACATTTAATGTCATATTCTTTTAATATTAGATTGCTTTTAAGTGTTTAGTTCAGAATATCTTATTACATATAAATATGACAAAAGTTGTATATAGTAAAATGAAAATACATATTTCAATTGCATAAAAAATACATACAAAAATAATAACAATATGATTACCATGAATATGAATGTACATACATGGAAAATGTGACAATATATAAATAAAAACGCATTTACAATGGATTATTAACAATTTTGTTCATGGAACCAAAGACGTAAATTTTTAAAGCTAAATGTTTGAATATTTTGTTTCTCTTTGGTTCACAGCTTTTTTTTAATGGCTACATAATGCAATTCTTATACTCTGTTTTAGTGGTGTTGTTGTGCAGGTCCCTAATGACTTTTGTTATAGCTAAATACAAGGCATAAAATGTAGCAATATGCACGAATTTAATTAATCACGATTTCGATATTTTTTGGTTAATTTTAGAACACCTTGCGTTTTCTTTAACGAACGACATATCTTACTTTTCAATGAACGCTGTTGTAGCTGATATTCATTTATGTTTGCTGTCTGTGGATTTGTTGTATTGTTGGTATTGTTTATTAAAACATTATTGGCTGATGTAGCTGATGTGGCCATTTCACTATGTGACATAATATCACCATTTATACCATTGGGTGTATTCAGTTCCGATGCCGGACTGAGGCCATTTTGTTGTGTGCCATTGGGTGTGGTATAACGGGTTTTCACATTAAGTTCTTGTTTAAGATCTAAACAAAAAGGCAGATATTAAGAATACCGTTATTTTTGTTGTATATGTGACGCTTTGATCTTTTTTTATACATACCTCTTGTTTCATCCATTAACCGCTGTAATTTTTCCTGTAAAACTTCTTTCTCATCAACTTCCATTTCGAGCAGGGCATTCTTTTCATAAGCTTTATCCAACATTCTTTCGAAGTCGACAATGCTTTCATTTAGAATGCGATGTGCCCTTTCTAGGTCGTCGTTTTTCTGTTCCAATTGGCGCAGGTAATCTTTCATTGAGTCTCGTTCTAGCTTTACATTTTCCAATTGTTTTTCAACATTGGCAAATTCTATATTATGTGATTCGAGTTTACGCTACAAGGGAATAGGATAACATTATTAATAATGCATATAAAAACTAAGAGGAAAATATTTTAAATACTTTATATGGAATATTATAAATTTTCAATTAAAATAATAAAATTCTATGTCGATAGAGATCAAAGTATTCAGGGCAGTGTTTAAAAAGGGACACTTTCATTTCTACTGGTGGTAGAATGTTTAGTATTGAAAATTGCATATTTGAAGCCATGTTTTTGTAGAACCCTGATGTAACCCAACCGGCTAAATACCAAAAATTGTAGTAATAAATACCGATAACATGGCAATGCAAATAAGGGGAGTTCTTCGATCCCACTGGAGTCTGTGTACTGTTGTTTTTATATTAGAAAGCAAAATTTCGAGGTTTGGTTCTGTTTTTTTTTTTTTTTTTTTTGAACATATCGATTTTCTTTTCCGTTCACGGATCGTTATGAAATGATACCACCTTGATTACAACGATAGCATATTTACGTAGCAAAGTTCCACGAAGTCTCTTGAATTTTCCAAGGCCATTTGAATTAATTACAGTCGGAAATTTTGTTAATTGAAACAAAAAATTTTGAACTAATATTTCGGGTGAGTTTTCAAATACTTTTCTTCGCTTAAAAGAAAAACCGGTTAATTGAAAATCTGTATAAGAGAAAGACTTTTTAGTTGCAAAAACGCAAATATATATGACACGAGCACCGTTTAAGACAAAAATATCATTTTTGTAAGCGCAACGAAATTCATTACAATTTTTATGTGCAACCCTAAAATTATGCTGCACATTTTCCAAAAAAGTTATTTTTTAAATTTCACGATATTGATTGAAAACTTCGTTTAAGCGCAACGAGTTTTGCTTATCCGAAGTTCGTTTAATTGAAAAGCCTGCTTAAGAGAAAAAATTCTGAAATTATGCTTTTTCGCTTAACCGATTTCGACTGTAACTCTATATGGATTTAAATTCAAAACGGCTGAAGTCCTAATAACAAAAATTTAATAATTTCTGTGGAACGGTCAATATATCCTTTGATATCGGCCTCCAAAAATTCCTATAGGACACTTATGTAGACAGAATCTCCTTTAAGTAGATTAGATTTTGTGTTGGCCTGACTTTGGACGTGTATTTAAAACTTTCTCCTATGGACAAATGCCAAAAACCATTACGCGACAACATCTCCTTTCAAATGTGCGACCTTCGGTCGGGATATTGACACTTTCTCCTATGAGCAGATACCAACACCGATTACGCGATAAAATCTAATTTTAAACAGAATGGGTTTTATGAAGCATCTGCTTACGGTGGGGATTTATGCCTTTTTGCTATCAGCACTTCGACCGCTTCAAATTTATAATCCCAAAAAATTATCCAATACCTTTAAACTAGGTTTAAGCCAAACTATTGTATTCGTATTGAGTAGCCTTGAGAACATACAAAGCATTAATGTAGTGTAGTGGTCTCCCATAAGACTACTGTATGAGCGTACTCAAAGTCATTCAATTTGTATATAAAAATTGATAAAAATATAACTCCATCAAACTATTCCTATACCTAATCATTGACTAAAATTTAATTTCAATAGCTTTTGAAAAAGAATAATGTCCAACATTGAGCACTTACTTTAAGTGATTCATTTTCTTTTTCCAATGAGGTTAACTTAAACCTGAGATCTTTTATTGTTGCTGTTTTCTGATCAATTGTAGCATCCATTTCGGCTTCCATTTCCCGAGATTGTTCTACGTATTCGTCATACTCTTGCTTAACATCTGTCCACCTGTTGAAAAAAAAAACAAAACACATAAAAACAAAATTCAAACAATAGGATTACAAAATGAATTAAAGTTTTCAAATAATCGCACAACACTTACTCTTTGTGGTAGAGTTTAGCTCTTTCCTTCCAGTAACGACATTCATCTTCAACACTATTGAATAGAGGGGGGGACTCCATCATTGTTGCACTGTTTATATGTTGCAGGTATTGCTCACGGTAAATATTTATGTGCCGCCTATTTTATGTAGGGTTGGTACATCAATCGGTGGTGGTGGGTTGTGTGGTCGTTCGATCGTTCGAAGGATACAGTAAACTCTTACAATCAAGAGTTCAGTGAGCAAAAGTTTCGTTTTAGTTATTGTTTTTTGTTTTGTATTATCCACGATAGTTTTTTTTTTTTGGTATGTCAGGGAATAGGTCGGATTTATCTTTATTAGTCAATTTTATTATTTCTTTCAAGATTCACAGAATTCACTGAAAAAATTGCTTAAAGATATCTGAAAGTTTATAGTGCCTTTTTGCTGGTTTGTTTGTCTTTTTTCCTTTCCCTGTATACTTTCTTTAATAGTTGTTACTAACGTAGTCGTCGTTCGTTTCGCTCTTGCGTCTTTTTTCTGTTGTCTGTGAAGAAAAAAAAAACAAAAGAAATCTTAAATTATCACTTCTATGTTGTTGTTGTAGCTCGCACTGTTGACTGAGCGAAGTTGTCATTTGTTGTCTGTCGCACTTTGTTTTTTGTGTGAAAAATCAATTCCCAGAGTTTTGTTGGTGGTAAGAAACTTGGAGAATCCCACACATCCACATTTCTCCTGGTTTTTCATTTCAGCCATACAGCTGCCCCTTTCCACTCATGCATGCGTTATGGTTATCTTTTTATCTTCTTGTGCTATTGTCCAATTTGTTTATTTGTTCACAATTGATTTTATTTTCATCTACTTCCTATTGTTTGTTCATAGACACAAAACTGTCAATAGAAAAAAAAACTTGTCTACGGACAGAAACCAACTTCTTCTTCTCCAAGGCAAAATGAAATCATCACTTTGTGGGAGTATTTTCCGGAATTCGTACGGCAGACCGTAAACCACTTATCGCATAATTTTTTCCGCACATAAGAATATGAAAAATGTCAAACTTACTTTTTCCAATAGCTTTTACGTTTCTCTTTATATTTTGTAAAAATCTGTTAAATAAAAAAAATAGAACGAAACTATTATTGTGTTTGGTATGGAGAAAACACAGTTGTATAATTGTGCATTAACTTAAAAAATGCCTACAGGGATGTAATAAGGCTTTTCAAATTGTCAAAGTCTAACTCCAATAAAAGCGTCAGACGGCTGGGGAATTTCCTTGAATTAAAGTACATTTACATATACAATTTTAAATCAACTCGTTTAAAGCCTTTTGCACACGAGACATCAATGTCGTATGTACTCTGAATTTTAACATATCTGAGTACTGTACACATCGTGTGCCTCAACCGAAAAATTGCATTTGTTAAAACGATATGACAACACATATGTAATTTTTTCGTTTAGGGACGGCTCTATTTTGATATGTATTTTCATATGTAAACCAAATAAATCAGCTGTTTTGACTGTTTGGTAAATGAAAAAATAATTCTGGTAGAAAATAACTTGAAGAAAAAAATGTAAATTTGTGAAAGGGAAAAATTAAACAAAAATACAAATACACGTGTGAACACTAAAGTAAAGAAATCGTGTGTACAGAAACACACCCTAACTGTTTACACACACATTAAATCGTAATATAAATGTCAATCAGCTCTATATATATATAATTATTATATTGCTCCAAAAATATTTGTTTACAATAATAGATTTAATTATTTTTATTTCCTTTCGTTTCTGCATTTGACAACTATTTAATATAAAAAAACAACATGTGAAACAGTTGTAAATTTTGGTCCATTGTGAAAGAAAGTCATGATTTCGTTCAATCTTGCCGCATGGTGATTTAAATTTGTACTATAAATCATGGTAAATATATCCTTATTATGAAATATTTACATCGTAGTGTGGTATAATCATGGCACTGTGCACGTGTGGCCTCTTCTGCCAAAAATAAAATAAATATACGCAACAAGTGTTTGTGTTTATTTCATTTTTTTAACACAAAACTAAAAACGCGAAAATATGAATGGAAGGTTATGATTTCTTCCAAAAATCCAGTAGGGAATACCATACCAGACGAACGTGTTAAAAACATCATTTCCATTTCAATTAAACTTGAATATATTTCAATTTATTTGACATTGACCATATACACATACATGGTATAATAATAAAAGGTAACAGCAAGTGTTGTTGTACGTAAAAACGATACAACAACCACATGGAAATTTGTTGTTGTAAGTTCTACTAATGTCAACTCATTTGACAGAAAAATGTAAACAAACAAACAAATTATCATCAAATTATTTTTATTTTGAAAATAGAATATTTTCGAATCCTCAAAATAAAAATTGAAAAACATGAATGAAAATCTATCAAATTTATATTTCTATCGCTTCCACATCTTTCCTTTAATTAAGCCATTGCCATATATATGTGTAACACATATGACAATGCTGGGAATAGCGAGTAATTCCTTTAAGAAAGATTTGCTTCCTCAAACTTTCCCAGCAGGCAGATTGAGTAAATTGAATACGGGAGCACATTAATAAAGAACAATTTCAAATTGTATGCGTTCCCAATTTTCCTGTTGGGTGATTTTTAAAAACATAATTTGTCAAATTCATATTGACACTAGTATTACGTTGGAATCAAATCAGCTGGGATTTGCTGTTACCTTTTATAATTGTACCAAAAATCAGTTTGTTAAAATTGGTCTGTTCCAGAACTTTTTTAATAGTAAATCTAGTAAGAGGGAAATATTTCAAAATTGCTCTCAGAGTACAAAATAATTTGAAAAGTTTGGAAACTCAAATCGAGTAAATATGCCAACATTAGATGGCAATACTTCAAAATCGACATAACAGCCAATCAGAAGTAGGTATTAATGTTTAACATTATTACTCGGCCAAAATTCTCGAGTAAAAAGTTTGCAAAGAGAACGCCATTTTGTTAAATTCGATTCAATGTTTCACCAGTTTTGTGGGTTGAGGAACGGTTTTCGAGTAAAATGTTGCAAAACATGTAAAAAGTAGATTCTTTTAGGTTCTGGAACGGAACTAATATAGAAAATATATTTCAAATCTTGGAAAGAACCATTGAATTGGTTACCAAAAAAGTGTGTGGTGACCAATTTGTGTTGTTCTTTTAAGTTCTGGAACGGAGCTAATGTGTTTTTCTGTTGTCTAGTCTGCTTTTCCACAGGCAAATTTTTATTTGGCAAATACTGAGTTTGTTGGCGAGAGGGGTGCGAGGAAGAAAAACAAAAATTTGCCTGTTCAGAATTTGCCGTACACGCAAATTCTGCTTGAAAACAATTTTGTTGACATTTCCTTTTGAACCTATTCGCTTTACTGACACACAGCCGGCTTTTGTTTACAAACCTGTTGCTTTAATTTGTGCAAGTGAAATTTAATTTTTAATTTTTGCAATTTATATAATTAAATATATAAAAAATAAAAAAAATATTAAAAAAAAATCTTTAAAATGCAAACACTTTTGACTTTTATTTTCTTTCTTTTGTATTTTGATTCGCAAAATTTGGCAAAGAAAAATTTGCTAATGGAAAAGCAAGCGAAAATTTCAAAAGAGAAAACAAAAAATTTGCCAAATAAAAATCTGCCTGTGGAAAAGCAGACCTAGATAACTACGTAAAAAATTTTATTTATAGATGAATTATTGGCCTGTTCCCGTACTGCAAGAATCTACTAGATTTTACTATTTTCTTCGATATCATAAAGGAACATTTGTTATCGTAGTAAAAAGAAGTAGATTCTTGCAGTACGGGAACAGACCATATGTATTATGGCATATCTTGAATAATTGTGCCAGGCATGGGATAATTAAATTTTCGTAATACACCGCAAGGTAGATATACAAGGTAGCCGCATCGGCGAATTTCTACAACAAACATCGGTTGTTGTATTTTGATATGTCAAAAATATTTTGCCAAAACAAACAGATTGACAAGATTTTTTTACACAAATTTTTGTAGAAAATGTTAATAAAAGTATTGCCAAAAAAGCTCTTCGAAATTCGGAGATTTTAATTCATAATTTTGTTTTTTAATTTTTTGGTTCAACATTACAACAACATTTTTGACATTTATTTGTCCAACAGCTGGGCCGATGCGGCTACCTTATTAAATATACCTTGATACACCGTGCGGCATTACATAAATACATGTTCGATGTGGTTTAAGCTACTTCAAACACAAATGTCAAAAAGTCTTGCGTACCCATACAAGAACTACCCAAAATAGTACTAATATTTGCAACCTAACAACAATGAAAAAATTGACATTCTATTTGATTCGGCCGATTTCTTCATTCGGAGAATCACCAATTTGTAGAATTCGCAGTGTTGAGTTTGTACAGGAAAAATTGCAATGATTTATTGAACGGGGAATCAAGTTATAAAATATTCGATTAAGGTATACAAAAGGCAGTAAATTGTGGTAATGATCGAATAGAGATAATGTGCTAACAATAAAATAACATGAACAAGTGAAATACAATCGGCAGATAATGGATGCAAATCATTGTTAAACAAAGCCAAAAGGCCGCAACGGCGTTAATTTCTTATTGCGAAAATATCGGTGTACGCCTTTGTTCAGCCGCCGCTATAGCCGTGAATTTTGTGATTTTTACAAAGTGAATATTCATGTACAATCTAGTTTTATGTTGGTGGAAATGTGTTCTTGCTTGAATGGAAACCTCGACTAGAAATCTGAAGAATAATAATTTTATGTATAATTTCTAATAATATTTGAGAATTAGGACATTGATTTCTTAGTAGACGGTCTTCTACGAGGGGCGTATATGGTTTTTGATAAGCAAAAATAATGAATGCATTTTTTTGCATTCATTAACCGCATTATTGTCAAGCCTCCACAATATGTTACTGCCGCCGTCGAATTACAAGAGCTTTGTTCTCTGGACACAATAGTCAATAGTTGGAGATAAATTGAAGAAAATAGAGAAAATGAAATTATTTTTATTGTAGAAATAATGCATATTAACTGAATTGAGTTTGGTGTGGGTATGTGACGAAATAAAGTCTGAAATTGTCGTGCCGTGGAAATATTCAAATCGAACACGAAAAATTGTGAAATAAAAACTGAAAGAGAAAATTCGATAAACCATCATAGAAAGACGAACAAAGGAACTATAATTTTAATTGTGAAGTGCAAGTGAAATATATGAGATGACACGATGATGGTGGACACCACTACCTCAGTTTAGCTGTTTTCTATTTTTTGTTCTCTTTTCCAGGCCTTCTTCTCCAATCAAACAAAAATACAACAATTAAAGTACATAATAAATAATAGATAAAACGCAAAAACAAATTCGAAACAACAAAGTGGAATAAACCCAAACTGTGACGTGTATACAACAACAAACAAGCCAAAGAAGAACAAAAAAGCCAAAAAAAAAAAGAAAGAAAAAAGGAAGAAAAACTACAAAATTACAAAAGAAATTTTGATTGGTTTTCTACGTTTTCCTTGCAAGCAAAGAACGAACAGTACAGTAAGATGGGTGATTCTTCTGAAAGACAAAGTCTATTGAAGAATGATGAAAACACTTCGATGTACACCTCTGCATCTGGTGCCGGTCCCCAAGCCCAGGCTGGTGGTGATGAGGGTGTAGCACCATCCCAGCAACAACCGCAGCAGACAGATGGTAAGTAGGTTCATTAACCGTATATTGTTGTTAGTTTTAGTATTATAGTTTATTACCTATTTTTCAGTTTTTTCTTCTCTCAGCCAATTCAATGTGGTTGAAACCACAAAAGTGCTGTGATAGTAACAGTTACATTCATTCATCTGTCACCAAAGGCACATTTTTTATTATTTATTCAATCTCATCAGGTTACACCCTCTGACTAGATAAAATTTCTGCTAGCGTTTACTTATTTATTTGTCGTTTTTTTTTTTAATACTGCATTGCATTCATTCGAATTCTTGCCATAATAGGGGATGTACAAAATATTCAAGCCACTACAATTAAATCTTACACAAATGACATTCTCTTTATATCTTCATTGTCCATTTTTTTTTTTTTTTTTTTTTTTTTTTTTGATAAAAATGGAGGATGAGGGTGGTTTATTCTTGTGAAAATAAACAACTAAGATAATGAGTGTTTTATCTTGCCTATGCAAGAACAAAATATACAACTTGTTTACACTAACCCAAAATTGGTACATCCACAGATAGCATAATTAAAATGTAATATCAACAACATACATTGCTTCATGCCACTTCTTATGTCATACAGAGTCAGATATGTCACAGTTATGATTCATAATTCATCTAAAATTACTTTAGGGATGGATGGGGAAAATTCCCAAATTTGTAACATTGATAATCCTGACTATAGCATTGTAAATATATCCGTCCAGAAATACATATTAACAAGAAAGGGGCTTTCAAATGTTCTATATAACTTGGAAATTTCTAAGAAATCCTATAATTTCTGTCAACATTTTGTTCGCATAATAGGTGTTGCACATTTCCATAGGCGAATGTCATAAATACTCACTAAATTCCGGAAATTATTTTGTCAACCTAGTTTTTTGAGAATTGAATTTCCTTGCAGATTTTTTTGTGTAGACTGATTATGAATTAATATTATAATGCATTTAAGAAGGGTAAAGTCCCACATTTAAAGAGATGGGTTCTTGAGCGTTGAGAAAACTTTTTCCCGAAACAGTTCGAAAGGTGTAGCCGTTTTTTGGTTCAAATTTTGTTAATAGTAATATTGTTTTAAAACTTAAATCGTGCACATAGATGGACATGGATGTTTCTTGAACGTACAAGGTAAGCCACTATATATCACGAGTCCTGAGATTTGACGATATAGATGTCGTTATCCGCAGTAGAGACGACTGGAACCGTAGTAATCCTCCTCTGGACGGTGTGGCTTTTTACACAAACGTATCCAAGATGGAAGAGGTACAGGCAATGGTGTGTACTGTAAAAGGATAGGCATTGATCTTACCTACAGGTTTGATAGTAACTGTAATGTTTTCCAAGCTGAAATCTTTGCTAGACGAGGATCTCAATGAGGCGATCTTTGACGAACGACCCAATGAACTTTGGCAGAACGAACCTAGGTGCAATGTGTCAGCTAAAAGAATAAACTCGATGTTGAATCTGAGCAAAGCTGAAATTAGATGAATGGCAGGAGTTATTACTTGTTAGGTTTTGGGTATGTGCAGTCACGATTCTGATTCATTGCTTCTGGTACCACTCCTGAAATACACAAAGGATCAAATTTAAAAAAGTCGTCATCTGAAATGAAACGGTTGGAATATTCGATTTAATTAATATTTTGCACATCGTTTTTTTATTAGCAAAGGTAACCGAAGGTGAGTACCGATATGATGCATCTTCGGACCAGTTTCAAATTTTATCCAAATTTTGTACGTAGTAATAATTAGGTCGGGGAAAAATAAATCCATTATTTTTTCGGCAGATGGCTGTACTGATAGATTTCTCATAAAGTATCGATCAAATAATAGATAGATTTATGCTCGTTGGAAGGGCAACTTTTGGCAGTAAAATAATTATGAGTTGCAGGGTGCTAAAAATGAAAGTGAAAAATGAGAAAATTCGGTACATTTTACAGTTTTTCTTTGACAAAGGCGAAAATTCAAGCCAGGCGGCTAATGTTTTAAATGGTGTTTATGATTCCGATACTTAACAGCCAATTATTTGCCACTTTGGTTTCGTACATTCGGTTCATCTTTAACATCGGTTTGATGTTAAAGATGCACCTCGCACAGGTAGACCGGTCGTCGAAAATGTCGATAAAATCGAAGAAATGATCGAAGGTGACCGGCATGTTAACAGTCGTAACATCGCCCAGAAGCTAAAAATCTACTATAATTATTTTAAACAATTTACAATTGACCAGAAACGGTTATAATTGGCCAACAGGAGAGGTGTCGTGTTCCACCAGGACAACGCTAGGCCATATACATCTACAGTGACTCGCCAGAAACTTCGGAAGCATGGTTGGGAAGTTTTAATGCATACGCCATACAATCCGGACTTGGCACCAATCGATTATCATATTTTTCTTGCATTGCAAAATTTCTTTAATGATAAAAAAATGGTATCTAGGGAGAATTGTGAAAATCGAACACTATAGTTTTTTTTTTTTTTTTTTTTTTTTTGCAAACAGAGAGCAGGACTTCTACGAGAGAGCCATTATGAAGTTACCATTAAAATGGCAACAAATCATACAACAAAACGGTGCATATTCGCATTCCGAAGCCTGTAGTCCATATAAAAATAATGGATTTCCTTTTCCCCAACATATTATTTTTACAAAGCATAGTCCAAAGCGCCAAGATAGATTCCAAAAACAAAAGTTGTTTGTTCTGTTTTAAAGCTGTGGCTAATATTACTGATATATATGGTAGTTCTTGTGATTAGAATGTTTTGTCTATTAATGCTGCAAGAGGCTGCCTCTGCAGGTATATGTCTCATTAATCCCACTTTTAATTTACGCGAAGATTCTTCTGAAATAATCTCATAATCTATATGTCTGGAACTTTTACTATTATGTGGCTAGTTTTTAATACAGGTTAGTGCATGTGTTTTTAAAAAGGTTTACTTTTCTTATCTGTGTTCTAGTTGAATGAAATATTTTTGATAGAATAACAAGCAAACGATATGTTTAAAATTGTTTACTATTTCATTGATAAGTTTACCCTACATATATACGTACAGGTATACATATGTACGTAAGCATACTAATTATTGATGCATTTTACCGTTCGAAAAATATTTGTTCGCCTACACAGACTTACTTATAACTAATAAATACAATAACAAAAATTACAACAAATATTGTTTACTGACGATAAAAAGCCAAAATATAAGAAAGACAATGTTTGCACTTATTCACATATGACTCATTCATCATGTTATCACATTTCGTAGCTATAACCAGTTATGGGCTATATATGAAAATACACAGGCTCGTTCTTATAGGTTGAGTGAGTACTCTTGTTTCCACACTGTGCGCCATATCAGTCAGCAACAAATAATCAACTCTTTTCTTTTTTGTTTACATAAATAAACCATTGTTGGTTCTTTATTGTCTGGTTTTCAAGATTACAAGAAATGAATAAATCGGAAAATGTTTTTTGATTCCCATTAATATATTTTTGAATAAAGTTAAAATGTACTTGTTATTACCATCCTGTTTGAAACAGAAGAACACCAAATGTGTAATTTTTAAATAGACACATTTTAACGACATATTTGCAATTATTATTTATTACCTAATGGTATTGTATTCATTTTTAGAATATCCATCTAAAATTGTTAAATCTTTTTTTATCAATATAATCTCAGCTCTATTAGGAGAATTATGGAAATGTTTAGAAGGATTTTGCATGAAAAAAAACACGGATTGCATATTGCACTGGAATGTTGTATATTCCATACTTGTATTATCGCATGTTGTAATAATGCCAATATTATTGATATGTCGGCTATGCTTTGGTTATTATTGACTACAATTATTTTACTCATATGCATAACTATATCAACTACTTAATCGATTGAAGTATTTCAAGTAAAATTGATTGAATATAATGTGGCTGTTTGTTTTGTATACGAATGTGTGAATGAATTAAATACATTTATTGTTGCAGTTTCAGTCTAAGCACAAATATGCAGCACATATCGTTAGCTAAAATGCAAAAAGGCGTAACTAACAAAAGCATAATTGTGTAGGAGAAGCAAAAAACTGTTTTGAATGAAAACTATAAACATTTCATGTGAAATGAAAAAGTTTGCCAGGCAGTGTGATATTGCATATGACGAATAATAGACTATAATTTTTTAACAAATTTAGTTATTTAGTTTAATGGCAGTCATAACAATTAAGTAAAAATTTGAATTTTTTGTTAGTTACGCCTTTTTGCATTTATCAAATAAACCCACTCCTTGTTTGACCGCAGACGTGTAAAACTTTGTCAACACATGTAGTTTATTGACATTCACAATATTCATTCAAAAAGTTAATTTTCAATTTTTTGTTAGTTACGCCTTTTTGCATTTTAGCTGACGATATAGGTTTGATAAATTACACTGTGCGACAAATTTCAATTTTTTGATAATTACCGGGAAATTCCAACAGATTTTGAAAGAGGGGCTAAAAAAATAAGACATAATTTTAGTTATATAATGTAGGTATGATCTTATGAGCGTACATTTCAAATACGCATAATTACTAGATATATAAGGACGAAATGTTCCCCAAAAAATAATCATTCGATTTGACTGAAAACGTTTCAGATATAATGCTTGTCCTTCATGAATTGAATTCGTCACGTCATAACTTAGAAACTTGACCTATGGCGAATTTCGCTTCTCAATTTGCTCGCCAAAGTATTTTTCCACCATATATAGCTCTCTATTATTTTAAATCCTTTTTTGTTTTCAATAAATTTTCAATAGCATGATTATATTAAAGTAATTTTTAACTATCTATTTCATTTTTAATCTAGGAGTTCAACAATCGAATGTGCCTTTCATTGGTCCCGATGAAGTGCCACCACCATACCAACAGGGCACCGCTGGTGGTGTACCCATGGTCACCTGTCGTGTTTGCCAAAATATGATTGATATAACATCAAAACGTGATCAGCATGTCGTTAAGTGTCTTCAGTGTAACGAAGCTACAGTATGTATATATATATTTGTGATATATTTTCAATTTATGCAATAATCTTAATAACAAATAATTATCTCTTATTTTTTTGCAGCCTATACGTAATGCTCCACCTGGTAAAAAATATGTACGTTGCCCATGCAATTGTTTGCTTATTTGCAAAAGTTCTTCTCAACGTATTGCTTGTCCACGTCCCAATTGTAAGCGTATTATTAATTTAGCACCCAGTCCAGTAACACCACCTGTACCCACAATGCCGGGTATGTGTCGTGTAAATTGTGGTCATTGCTCGGATACATTTTTGGTAAGTCCGTTGACGGAATAAAATGTAAAAATGTGTAATTGGTGAACGTTTTTTTTTTCTTTCTAGTTTAATACATTTCACAATTCGCTGGCCCGTTGTCCACACTGCAGAAAAGTGTCATCGGTGGGTTCACGTTTCGCCTTTAGTCGTGGTATTCTCTTCATAATTATAGGTTTAATTGTTTTGATTACTGCTATTGGTATAACCGTTGGTACTCACAGATATGCCCAAGTAAGTACAAAAAAACAAAACAATGATGACAGAGATTGGTAAAGCGTTGATAAAATGTGTAATCCATTACAGTAAATATAGTTATTATATATACCACAATTATAAACATTTTGAGAAATATGAATGTGAATTCAAATACCTTTTTTTGGAAGAGGAAATTCTCATTTCCCAATTTCCAAAAATTTTATAACAATTTTTAATATAGTATATATTATATCGCATGATTTTTTCATACTCCTTACAAAGTTGGCACTCTCTCCCAATTAAATTTAAATAAATCCAATTTGCTACAGAACTTAGACTATATGTTATTATCCAGCAATGCGCTTTACCAATTTATGTCTCGGAAATTACTTTTTTTTAGCAATGTTTCTAGTTTCTTAAGTAGGAAATTTGGTTTAGTTTTTAATTTATTATTTACATTGTCTACTGTACTGTTTAACAAAATATAATATTTCATTTTTCATTATTCTATCTCCACAGGATCATGCGGGTATTTATGTGGCATATATTGGCTTATTTTTAATTGGCGCATTTTTATGCGGCCGCTCGCTTTATTACTTCCGCTTGAAAGTAAGCCATGTCGATGGACCCATGTAAGAACGTATTTAACCAGCTTTTTATAGCAGCATTCCTTTTGATATTATATTGAAAAAAAGCAAAACAAATCAACCAAAACATACAATTTACAAAATACATGTTTTTCTACACTTAAACTATACGAAGAAAAAAATTCAAAAACAACACCAAGAACAAAGAAAAATGTGTAATAGCAAAAAAACAAAAAAAGAATAAACAAATTGTTATGTAAAACAAAACAAAAAATACAAGAAGACACTACAAAGATCCACATAAACATCATACACCCATATTCTTATATACATACAGAAAAATATGATTTAAAAATGAAGAAAAAAAACAACAACAAAAAGTATTTAATATACTCTGTTACAAAAAACAAAAAAAAAATAGAAAAAGCTGTAGCATTGTTCATTTCAACATCCCAATGATGCTGGTGATAGTAGCATTACCAATAAAAATCTAATGGTGTGACAGTGAAAAACTAGCATCCTCGATATAAACAATAGATTAAATGATGCCATAGGTGTGTATTATGTGCGTTGCGTTATTTTGCAAATATAATTATGTATACACAGAACAGAATATCTATAGAAAGAAACTTCATCCCCCTCTTGATCAAATTCAGCCACCCTCTAGACATAAACACACATATTATTATCCTATTTTAGAGTATTCCAATTCAATAAGTTGCAATCCGCAATGGAACAATGTCAGTTATTCACTTTTTATAAAAAAAAAAAAAAAAAAAAATGATAAAAAAATTTCATAACATTAGGCGTTTCTCTTCAAAATCAAAGTTCCACAAATTGTTTCAGACTTATAAATCTTGTCGCACATTATCATTATTTAAACATCTTCCTCCTCAATTATTTTTTTTTTGCCTTCTATATGTATGTGTTATTTTTCCACCCAAATTTTCAAGAAAACAATTGGCGTCCAAATCCTCGTGTAATAGATCAAATGTTTTTTGTTCGTTAAATTTAAAATCAAAATTTATACCAAAATATTAATAATAATACAATCTCTCCTGTTCTCTCGTAAAGTTTTATTTTAGCATTTTATATATACATATACACCTGAAAAAATACATTTATCAATATATTTATAAATACATTATTATATATTTGTATTTTCTTTTTATATGCATATAAATATGTTATAAATATGTTCGCCGTTCAGTTGAAGGAAACAACATTAAACATGTAATTTATCTCAATTTACGATTTTATTTTTCTTTTCTTTCTTTTTTGCTACATAAACAAAACAAACAGAAAAGTAATTTCGATAAAAACAAAATTTAATATTAAACGAAAAAATTATAAATATATTTAAATTGATTCTTATAATTACGATACCATTTATTGTAAATAAAACGTAAAATAAATAAGTTAAAAAGCCCTTAAATGTTTGATGTATGTGTTTTATTTTTTGTCCTTCGAAATACAACGAGGTGGAGGGAGGTTTTTTTCTTATTAAGTCTGTGTCCATTTGCCCATGCTCGTTCTTTGGTCAGTTCCCTTTCTCTCTTATTTTTATACCCTCCACCACAGTATGGAGGATATATTAATTTAGTTTTTCCGTTTGTAATTCACCGTAATAATCATTTCCTACATTATAAAGTATATATATTCTTGATCAGTGTAAAATTCTATGACGATCTAAGCATGTCCGTCAGTCTGTTGTAATCAATGTAGCCTCTAAACGAAACGAGAGATCAAAATTTTGCATAGTCTGCAGGCAGGTCAAGCTCAAATATAGAATATATCGTTTAGACATAGTTCCTATATAACGGTACTCACAATTTCGGTATTTTGAGGTTCATGAGCGCGTTTATCAACCGAATTCGCATTGAGTTCTCCACTAAAAGTATTGGTCCACTTTTTCTGGTACCACTCAATTTCAATTTGCTGTAATTTAGCACTTTAAGCTCTTATTGGGTAGCAAATCTCTCTATTAAAAAATAAATATTGGTCCACTTTTTCTGGTAGCCCCCAAATAACGGTATCCCTTAATTTTAAGTATTTTTTTGGGGGTTGGGGTTCTGTTCGTATTTTTCGACCAAATTTGCTGTAATTTAGCACATTGAGTTCTTATTGGGTTGCAAATGTCTCTGCTAAAAATTATAAATGTAGGTCCATTTTTTCGTATAGCCCCCATAAAAGGGTACCACCCATTTTGGGTATTTTAGGGTTCTTAAGCGCGTTTTTCAACCGAATTCGCTGTAATTTTGTAGTCATATGTGGTAACAAATCTCCCTCAAAATTGTTAATATTCGCGTATTCTACCATAATATGGTGGAGGATAGTCATTACTCGAAATTGTCAGTTTTTACCATAAGACCATTTAGACATCTGTTGTAATTATTCCGCCTTCAAAAGGATATCGCGATAAAAAAAAACGAACCAGATAATAATGAAATATATTGGCCAGAATTTAGGCATCTCCCCATATAAGGTTCGAAATTGAGGATTTTATAAATATGTTCCACTCTATCTACCATGCCTTATCCATATCGGTTTCATTAAAATTTGCTGAAATTTGTATTTGGTGTACAAAATGGTTTACGTAAATCGGTTTGTAGAATTGTCGGTGTAGGTCCACATTTTGTTCCCAACACATTTTGCTGTTTGTTGTTTGTTTTTGTTGGTATGTTCCCTATATTTTCATTTTAAGTACCGCTCAGTATACCTATGGTGAAGGGTATCCAAAGTTCGGCCGAACTTAATGCTTTCTTTTTTTGTATTTGCTTACAATGACTAAAAATTTCTTATAAATTCTTTTTAATAAAAAAAAATTCAATGAGTTTTTTATAGAATCAGCCTTCGTATCAATTAAATGGTTTTATTTAATTTAATTTTAATAGTTCACATGACAAAGAAAATTCAGTATTAAATAGTTTTTTTTATATCGAGCAAATTCTTATTATACATTAGAATCAATATTCTATCAAAATTTGTCGTTAAATCAAAACGATGGCGGACGATGATGATAAACCTAAAAAACACACGTTGGAATCTTTATTTCACTTGTATGCAAACAATATTGTTGTATCCATGGATTTGGACAATGAAGATTACGATTGCATTTTGTTGTCACAAATTGATTATTGGCTTGATCAGGCAAAACTTTTGAAAACAACTTTTACTCTGACAGAGACGGGTTTGGCATATATGGAATTTAGGTGAAGATATATTTCAAACACACACACGCCGACGTGATTGATAGGCTAACAGAAGAAACAAATTCCTTGTGCTTTTTAAAGAATATATTATTTTACGATTTTATTTCATTGAAAATTAGAGTTCACGACAATGTTCATCTTGGCTAGTGTGTACGATTTTTAAATTGCATTTTTTTTCAGAAAATGGCGCTTGGATTATGAAGAATTTTTAGATTTCTTAGAAAAAATCTGTGTGGGGAAAACGTATTCTGTTGATGATGTCAAGACAATGCTATTGGAAGCCGGTGTACCAGGTTCAAGTGATGTCGTAATTGTGAAATAAATTAAATTTTAAATTAATATTTACTAGTTAATCTACTTGGATAAATTTTTATGCCCTGCATCTTTAAAAACTACCTAACATGGCTAACAAAAAATAAAGCAATTGCATTTTTCATTAAATATCGAATTTTTATTTTAATTTAATACAAAGGTTTGATAATACGATTTTAATTTAAGCATTCATAAGCAAAAAATATAAAATAAAATGTTTCGATTTGTTCAAACTTGTAATAAATTTAGAAAGATCCTCCGCGAAGACGCAGAACAAGGTGAAGGGTCGATTCTTTTTGAATGTTGTAATCGGACAAGGTGCGTCCATCTTCTAATTGTTTACCAGCGAAAATCAAACGTTGCTGATCTGGGGGGATACCCTCTTTGTCTTGAATTTTGGCCTTGACATTTTCGATGGTGTCTGATGGCTCCACCTCCAAGGTAATGGTCTTTCCAGTTAGGGTTTTGACGAAAATTTGCATTCCACCACGAAGACGCAAGACCAAATGCAAGGTTGACTCCTTTTGAATGTTATAATCGGACAATGTGCGGCCATCTTCCAATTGTTTACCAGCGAAAATCAAACGTTGCTGATCTGGGGGGATACCCTCTTTGTCCTGAATTTTTGCCTTGACATTTTCGATGGTATCTGACGGCTCCACCTCCAAGGTAATGGTCTTGCCAGTTAGGGTCTTGACGAAAATTTGCATACCGCCACGAAGACGCAAGACCAAATGCAAGGTTGACTCCTTTTGAATGTTATAATCAGACAAGGTGCGGCCATCTTCTAATTGTTTACCAGCGAAAATCAAACGTTGCTGATCTGGGGGGATACCCTCTTTGTCCTGAATTTTTGCCTTGACATTTTCGATGGTATCTGACGGCTCCACCTCCAAGGTAATGGTCTTTCCAGTTAGGGTTTTGACGAAAATTTGCATTCCACCACGAAGACGCAAGACCAAATGCAAGGTTGACTCCTTTTGAATGTTATAATCGGACAAGGTGCGTCCATCTTCCAATTGTTTACCAGCGAAAATCAAACGTTGCTGATCTGGGGGGATACCCTCTTTGTCCTGAATTTTGGCCTTGACATTTTCGATGGTGTCTGATGGCTCCACCTCCAAGGTAATGGTCTTGCCAGTTAGGGTCTTGACGAAAATTTGCATACCGCCACGAAGACGCAAGACCAAATGCAAGGTTGACTCCTTTTGAATGTTATAATCAGACAAGGTGCGGCCATCTTCTAATTGTTTACCAGCGAAAATCAAACGTTGCTGATCTGGGGGGATACCCTCTTTGTCCTGAATTTTGGCCTTGACATTTTCGATGGTGTCTGATGGCTCCACCTCCAAGGTAATGGTCTTGCCAGTTAGGGTCTTGACGAAAATTTGCATACCGCCACGAAGACGCAAGACCAAATGCAAGGTTGACTCCTTTTGAATGTTATAATCAGACAAGGTGCGGCCATCTTCCAATTGTTTACCAGCGAAAATCAAACGTTGCTGATCTGGGGGGATACCCTCTTTGTCCTGAATTTTTGCCTTGACATTTTCGATGGTATCTGACGGCTCCACCTCCAAGGTAATGGTCTTTCCAGTTAGGGTTTTGACGAAAATTTGCATTCCACCACGAAGACGCAAGACCAAATGCAAGGTTGACTCCTTTTGAATGTTATAATCGGACAAGGTGCGTCCATCTTCCAATTGTTTACCAGCGAAAATCAAACGTTGCTGATCTGGGGGGATACCCTCTTTGTCCTGAATTTTGGCCTTGACATTTTCGATGGTGTCTGATGGCTCCACCTCCAAGGTAATGGTCTTGCCAGTTAGGGTCTTGACGAAAATTTGCATACCGCCACGAAGACGCAAGACCAAATGCAAGGTTGACTCCTTTTGAATGTTATAATCAGACAAGGTGCGGCCATCTTCTAATTGTTTACCAGCGAAAATCAAACGTTGCTGATCTGGGGGGATACCCTCTTTGTCCTGAATTTTGGCCTTGACATTTTCGATGGTGTCTGATGGCTCCACCTCCAAGGTAATGGTCTTGCCAGTTAGGGTCTTGACGAAAATTTGCATACCGCCACGAAGACGCAAGACCAAATGCAAGGTTGACTCCTTTTGAATGTTATAATCAGACAAGGTGCGGCCATCTTCCAATTGTTTACCAGCGAAAATCAAACGTTGCTGATCTGGGGGGATACCCTCTTTGTCCTGAATTTTTGCCTTGACATTTTCGATGGTATCTGACGGCTCCACCTCCAAGGTAATGGTCTTTCCAGTTAGGGTTTTGACGAAAATTTGCATTCCACCACGAAGACGCAAGACCAAATGCAAGGTTGACTCCTTTTGAATGTTATAATCGGACAAGGTGCGTCCATCTTCCAATTGTTTACCAGCGAAAATCAAACGTTGCTGATCTGGGGGGATACCCTCTTTGTCCTGAATTTTGGCCTTGACATTTTCGATGGTGTCTGATGGCTCCACCTCCAAGGTAATGGTCTTGCCAGTTAGGGTCTTGACGAAAATTTGCATACCGCCACGAAGACGCAAGACCAAATGCAAGGTTGACTCCTTTTGAATGTTATAATCAGACAAGGTGCGGCCATCTTCTAATTGTTTACCAGCGAAAATCAAACGTTGCTGATCTGGGGGGATACCCTCTTTGTCCTGAATTTTGGCCTTGACATTTTCGATGGTGTCTGATGGCTCCACCTCCAAGGTAATGGTCTTGCCAGTTAGGGTCTTGACGAAAATTTGCATACCGCCACGAAGACGCAAGACCAAATGCAAGGTTGACTCCTTTTGAATGTTATAATCAGACAAGGTGCGGCCATCTTCCAATTGTTTACCAGCGAAAATCAAACGTTGCTGATCTGGAGGGATACCCTCTTTGTCCTGGATTTTGGCCTTGACATTTTCGATGGTGTCTGATGGTTCCACTTCCAAGGTAATGGTCTTGCCAGTTAGGGTCTTGACGAAAATTTGCATACCGCCACGAAGACGCAAGACCAAATGCAAGGTTGACTCCTTTTGAATGTTATAATCAGACAAGGTGCGGCCATCTTCTAATTGTTTACCAGCGAAAATCAAACGTTGCTGATCTGGGGGGATACCCTCTTTGTCCTGAATTTTGGCCTTGACATTTTCGATGGTGTCTGATGGCTCCACCTCCAAGGTAATGGTCTTGCCAGTTAGGGTTTTGACGAAAATTTGCATACCGCCACGAAGACGCAAGACCAAATGCAAGGTTGACTCTTTTTGGATGTTATAATCGGACAAGGTGCGGCCATCTTCTAATTGTTTACCAGCGAAAATCAAACGCTGCTGGTCTGGAGGAATTCCTTCCTTATCTTGAATTTTGGCCTTGACATTTTCGATGGTGTCTGATGGTTCCACTTCCAAGGTAATGGTCTTGCCAGTTAGGGTCTTGACGAAAATTTGCATACCGCCACGAAGACGCAAGACCAAATGCAAGGTTGACTCCTTTTGAATGTTATAATCAGACAAGGTGCGGCCATCTTCTAATTGTTTACCAGCGAAAATCAAACGTTGCTGATCTGGGGGGATACCCTCTTTGTCCTGAATTTTGGCCTTGACATTTTCGATGGTGTCTGATGGCTCCACCTCCAAGGTAATGGTCTTGCCAGTTAGGGTTTTGACGAAAATTTGCATACCGCCACGAAGACGCAAGACCAAATGCAAGGTTGACTCTTTTTGAATGTTGTAGTCCGACAAAGTACGACCATCTTCCAATTGTTTACCAGCGAAAATCAAACGTTGCTGATCTGGGGGAATACCCTCTTTGTCCTGAATTTTGGCCTTGACATTTTCGATGGTGTCAGAGGGCTCTACTTCCAAGGTAATGGTCTTGCCAGTTAGGGTCTTGACAAAAATTTGCATGCCACCACGAAGACGCAAGACCAAATGCAAGGTAGACTCCTTTTGGATGTTGTAATCGGACAAGGTGCGTCCATCTTCCAATTGTTTACCAGCGAAAATCAAACGTTGCTGATCTGGGGGAATACCCTCTTTGTCTTGGATTTTGGCCTTCACATTTTCAATGGTGTCAGATGGCTCCACTTCCAATGTTATGGTTTTGCCAGTTAATGTCTTAACAAAAATTTGCATGCCACCACGAAGACGTAAAACCAAATGTAATGTAGATTCTTTTTGAATGTTGTAATCGGACAAAGTGCGACCATCTTCTAATTGTTTACCAGCGAAAATCAAACGCTGTTGGTCTGGGGGAATACCCTCTTTGTCTTGGATTTTGGCCTTGACGTTTTCAATAGTGTCTGAAGGTTCTACTTCCAATGTAATTGTCTTACCAGTCAATGTCTTGACAAATATTTGCATACCACCACGAAGACGCAATACCAAATGCAAGGTCGATTCCTTTTGGATGTTGTAGTCCGATAAGGTACGTCCATCTTCCAATTGTTTACCAGCGAAAATTAAACGTTGTTGGTCTGGAGGAATGCCTTCTTTGTCCTGAATCTTAGCTTTTACATTTTCAATTGTATCTGAAGGTTCAACCTCCAATGTAATTGTCTTGCCGGTGAGAGTCTTCACGAAGATCTGCATTTTCTAACTAATAATTGTTAAAAAATAAAAAAGAGGACAAATTAGTAATTGTTTTTCAACAAAAAATTATTGAAGTTTAAGAAATATAAAATTAATCACATACTCAAAGATAAAGTTATATTTTTCAAGAACTGTTTGCAACGGATTTTCCGAACTGTTTGAGCTGTTAATGACGCTAACTTGTGAAATATTGTGTATACTGGTGAAAAAATGCTGACTCATACACGAAATAAAAATACGACGCCATTATTTGCAGTGTTGCCACCTCGTGGCCAATGTATAACTAGTGTCATGTGTAAATCATGTGTACTTTATTTTTTTAACGTTTTATAACACTACTAGCATAGGTCCGCTACGTTGTTAGACTGCTTTTCCACAGGCAAATTTTTATTTGGCAAATTCTGAGTTTGTAGGCAAGAGGGGTGCGAGGAAAACAAAAAACAAAACTTTTCCTGTTCAGAATTTGCGGTACACGCAAAGCGGGGTTTTACACTTATCGGGATTGGGATTGGTGTTGAGAGTTTCTCTCTCTTGAGAGAGTAATTAGAGTTGCGCTATTTTTAATTTTGTAACAAGCGTACTTTTTGTTCACAAAAGGTACGAATTGACATAAACGTACCAAAACAAAAAGTAGATTTTTTATTATTCGTGAATACATTTACGCTTAAATTATAACATATATTATTTATGCAAATAACTGGTATAAATATTGGCCAATATTTCTCGATAATTATGATTTATTATCATTTGAAGTAGAATTTTAGGTACCTTTTCATACATTTTTGTTCTTACCTGTGGTAATGTTTTCCAACTCAATTCACAATTTACCAATGAGAGAGAGAGAAAAACTCTCAACACCAATCCCAATCCCGATAAGTATAAAACCCCGCAAATTCTGCTTTGCTCTGTTCGTTGAAAACAATTTTGTTGACATTTCCTTTTTAACCTATTCGTTTTACTGACACACAGCTGGCTTTTGTTTACAAACCTGTTGCTTTAATTTGTGCAAGTGAAATTTATTTTTTGCAATTTATATTATAAAATAAATTTTTTTTTTATGTTTAAAATGTTTTAAATAATATCCATTTCTTCGAAAAATTCCTTAAAATGTAAACATTTTTGACGTTTCTTACTTTCTTTTGTATTTTGATTCTCAAATTTGGCAAAGAAATATTTGCCACTTGAAAAGCAAGCAAATATTTGAAAAAAGAAAACAAAAAATTTGCCAAATAAAAATTTGCCTGTGGAAAAGGAGACTTACCACTTTTTTTTATTTTATTTTTTGCAATTTATATTATAAAATAAATTTTTTTTATGTTTAAAATGTTTTAAATTATATCCATTTCTTCGAAAAATTCCTTAAAATGTAAACATTTTTGACGTTACTTACTTTCTTTTGTATTTTGATTCTCAAATTTGGCAAAGAAATATTTGCCACTTGAAAAGCAAGCAAATATTTCAATAAAGAAAACAAAAAATTTGCCTGTGGAAAAGGAGACTTACCACTTTTTACTCGGGTAAAAAGTTTACAAAGAGAACGCCATTTTGTACTGTGCTCTCTTAAATTTGATTCAATGCTTTACCAGTTCTGTGGGTTCAGGAACGGTTTTCGAGTAAAAAGTTGCAAAACTTGTAAAATTAGTAGATTCTTTTAGGTTCTGTAACGGAGCTTTAGTTTACATTTTACGGAATTTCGTTAAACCAGTGTGTTTATATTCAATTCCATTGCATAAATGTAAATAAATCTTCATATAGTAGTTTAACATGATAACAAGTTCTGACGCACATGCCGTTTTCGAACATAGTACATTTATACTGCATTTACATACTGCAACATATGTAAAATTTGACAGTACATATGACATTAACACTAGATTGCCGAAGGCAGTCATTTTGACTGTTTTTCAATTTCAAGTACAAAAACAATTGTGTATATTATGACCCAGCTTTTTAAAATTAGGTGACTTTTTGTACCACACAGAACTACGTCTATTAATCATAGTAGCTGCTTCCTCCCTTCTTTAATTCCCCGTATTCACATGTGCTATACCTATATTGCCTAAAAGCGGTCATTTTGACCTTTTGTGAAATATTGAATAATCAAACTACTTTTATTATTATATAAAGTAAATTTCTTATATGACCAGATCAGTACAACAACATCGAAACCCGTTTGCTACTCTAGAAACACAAACGAACATACAAATCGGGAAAAATTAATTTTATATTTTCAGTCGATTTCACTTTCAGAGTAAAGACTTCCTTTTTTTCGAACATTTTGTCCGCGCTCTTATTTTTCAAAAGGGGAAACTCGAGAGCCCTACCACCGAAAACAAATAATAACAACGTTTTGTATGATTGTAAATAATGTAAAAAATAGTAAAAAATTAGTTTAAAAAATTTTCTTTACACAATAAAAATTCTTTCAGAATGAGGTCATTTTGACCGATTTTAGGCAATATAGGTATATAAAAAATGCCCGTCTTTCTAGTGTTAATGGCTCTTGTATCAAGGCCATAAGTAAAATTTTACTGAGTAAATGTTACAGAACAAGTAAACGAACCTACCTAATGTTACCTGAACTGTTGAGAAAATGATGAGCAAAATGAACTAGGCGAACGGAAGAGCCGGACCTAGTACCGATCGTCCCTTTTGCAGAATAGTTACTTTGAACTAGTTCAAACAACACAACACTAGCTGGGACTGTTGGCTGGAGGAAAATATTCGCTTGGAGCTGGGAATAACTTACCTACATTAATCAATTCGATGAATAGAAGAATAAATGCATCAAAAATTGTTATAGGCTTCCTGAATAAATAATCAAAAATCAGGCAATATAATGGAACCAGAACTTGATCTCAAAGTTAAGGAGCAACCGGCAAGGCCCTTTAAATTATAAGTATTCCAAAAAGAAGAAATTTATTTGGTAAATAGTTCGTTCAATGATTTATTTTTCATTCCAGCACGGCTCACCAAATTGTTAGTCTGACCGGCATTAGTTTCGAAAGGAAAAGTATAATTGTAAGTGATCCATTTCAATACACTATGCACCGGAAGCGTATTTCATTGCTGTAATTTTAATTTTAGGGTGCTGTGGAGTTAACCATTGTGCCGACAAAGGAAAATTTGCGAATCATACGTTTAAATGCTAAGCAGTGTCGGGTATACCGAGTGCTGCTGAATGATGTCTGCGAAGCAGATTTTGTTTATTTTGATCCATTTCTGGATATATGCCAAGGCGATTCCAAGACGTAAGTTTCAATTTTTAATGGCAAATGAAATGTGTAATCGTGTTTCTACTTTTTGTCTTTAGCCGCTCATTGGAAACTTTTTCCAAGTTTCATTTAACAGCAGCACAAAAAACGGATCCCGATGCAAATTGTGGAGAATTGCTCATCCAGGTACCGCCTGAAGGTTACCATATGATACAAGAGGGTCGGGGATTGCGAATTGGTATTGAATTCTCCTTGGAAAATCCTCAAGGTGGTATACATTTTGTTATACCGCCCACAAATGACGATGATCCTCAACCCAACAGTGCTCACATGTATACAAATTCGTATGAGAACTCGTCACGTTTATGGTTTCCATGTGTGGACAGTTTTGCTGATCCCTGTACATGGAAATTGGAATTCACAGTGGATAAACACTTAACAGCTGTTTCTTGTGGTGAACTAATGGAGGTGGTAATGACACCCGACTTGCGTAGAAAAACATTTCACTATGCTCTAAATGTTCCCGTGTGTGCCCCAAATATAGCATTAGCTGTGGGACCATTTGAAATTTATGTTGATCCGCATATGCACGAAGTAACACACTTTTGTTTGCCCCAGTTGTTACCATTACTCAAAAATACAGTGCGTTATTTGCACGAAGCTTTTGAATTTTTCGAAGAGACCTTATCTACCCGCTATCCATTTACATGCTACAAACAGGTATTTGTAGATCACGCAGATGCCGACATAAGTGCCTATGCCACAATGAGCATAGCTTCGGTACATCTTTTACACAGCATAGCTATAATAGATCAAACGTATATTTCGCGAACTCTTATGTCCAGAGCAGTGGCTGAACAGTTTTTTGGTTGTTTCATAACATCGCATCATTGGTCGGATACCTGGTTGGCCAAAGGTATTGCGGAATATTTATGTGGTCTTTATTCACGCAAATGTTTTGGTACCAATGAATACCGCGAATGGATACAAAAAGAACTGGATCGTGTGGTAAAGTATGAAGAGCAGTATGGAGGTATTATTTTGGATTGTAGCCAGCCTCCTGCTCCGTTACCTGTTAGTAGCACCAACCCTGCCGCTTCCACCGCCAAACATCAGGAAATTATACATTATTTTCCTATAAAAAGTTTACACACCGTGTCGCCAAAATATGTGGATGCGATGAGAAGGAAAGCCCATTTAGTTATACGAATGTTGGAACATCGTATAGGCCAAGAATTACTAATACAGGTTAGACACAAAAAAGACGTTCCTTTTTATTGTATCGTAGTATAATTTTTTATTTCTTTTTTTCAAGGTATTTAATAAGCAATTGGCTTTAGCAACAAACGCGGCTGGAACAAAAATTGGTTCAGGACTTTGGCATCATTTGCTTATATCTACAAATATTTTTATAAAGGCAATCTTTACGGTAACCGGTAAAGATATGTCGGTCTTTATGGATCAATGGGTACGCACTGGAGGACATGCCAAATTCTCGCTAACATCGGTATTCAATCGAAAACGTAACACAATTGAATTGGAAATACGTCAAGATTTTGTCAATCAACGGGGTGTACGCAAATATAATGGTCCACTTTTGGTACAACTACAAGAATTGGATGGTACTTTTAAACATATGCTACAAATTGAGAATGTTGTAGTCAAGGCGGATATAACATGCCACTCGAAAAGTCGTCGTAATAAGAAAAAGAAAATTCCCTTGTGTACTGGGGAGGAGGTTGACATGGATTTATCACCCATGGAGTAAGTTGCAACAAAAAATTATTTTTAATCAAGAATTCTAAATATCGAACATTAACGTGGGTCTGGATCGAATTTAGAATAGATGTTTTCAACTAATTATTGATATGAATTATGAGTTATACTATGATACCCAATGTTTTGTAGGTTACGTTTTTTGAGAATTTGAATTTCTACATTCTTATATAGGTACAATATACAATTATGTTTTTTTTTAATATTTTAGTGACTCTCCAGTATTATGGATACGATTAGATCCTGAAATGATATTGATAAGAGATTTAAATATTGAACAACCGGATTTTCAATGGCAATTTCAATTAAGACATGAACGTGATGTTACTGCACAATTTGAGGCTATTAAAGCCCTGGAGAAATATCCCACAAATGCCACTCGTTCTGCTTTGACGGATGCCATTGAAAATGAACAATTTTTCTATAAAGTTCGTTGTGAGGCAGCAAATTGTTTAACAAAGGTAAGTAGACAATGAAACTACAACTATAGTCGATATTTTTTGCTTATTTATTTCTTCATTAGGTTGCCAATCAAATGGTTACCCAATGGAGTGGCCCACCCGCAATGTTAAATATATTCCGGAAGTTCTTTGGATCATTTAGTGCACCACACATAATAAAACAAAATAATTTCTCTAATTTTCAATTGTATTTCCTCCAAAAAGTTATACCCGTAGCCATGGCTGGTAGGTATTATAAACCATGTTTCTATTTTTGTATTTCACAATAATGTGTATTTCTTTATAAATTTAGGTCTTCGTACATCTCATGGTATCTGTCCACCTGAAGTTTTACGTTTTCTCTTCGATCTATTCAAATACAATGACAATACACGAAATCATTATAGTGATGTCTATTATAGATCAGCATTGGTAAATGCATTGGGTAATTCAATTACGCCAGTTGTATCGGTGGTATTGCGAGGCACTCCCATTACTTCGGACAGTCTTTCAGCAGATGCAAAGTAGGTTATTGTTTATTCACTTATTGTCAATTTTGCCATATTAACAAATGTTTTTACTCAAAAAACAAAGGCTGGTACTGGAAGAGGTGACACGTCTATTGAATTTGGAAAAACATTTACCTTCCTACAAGTACATGGTATCTGTTTCATGTTTAAAAGTAATACGAAAACTACAAAAATGTGGCCACTTACCCTCGTTGCCGAATATTTATCGCTGCTATGCTGCATATGGACAATATTTGGATTTGCGTATTGCAGCCATGGAATGTTTAGTCGATTTCGTAAAGGTCGATGGTAGATGGGAAGATTTGGATCATTTAATAACGCTGCTGGAGACCGATCCAGATCCAGCAGCTCGCCATGCTTTGGCTGGGTTATTAATTGATAATCCCCCCTTTACAAGAGAATCAAAAAGCCGTTTAGATCGTCCAGAATTGGTGGAGAGACTTTGGAGCAATATGAAGTAAATATATTTGTGTTGTAGCTACTCGATTTTTACAACATTTTTTATTTTTAATTTTAGTAACAAATTGGCTTTTGATACAAAACTACGTTGTGACATGGTAGATTTGTATTATGCCCTTTATGGTACGAGGCGTCCCCTTTGCTTGCAATCGGCCGAAATGACTAGCATGTATAAAGATTTTATACGTGAAGGTACATCAAAGAAAACCTCATCCAGTACATCGAACATGTCAACGATACCCAAAATTGTACCAGAAATTAAATCGGAAATACGACGTGATGATACCGATGCCTTGGATAGCAAATCCAATGTTATGACAGCAATAAAACGTACAGCCAGTGAAGCATTTGAAGATACCGATGTTGGAGGTATAAAATTAGAAACGCACGAAGAAATCACTGTCGCAAATGAAGTTATAAAAGATGAAATTTATGAGGGCGAATCAAATAAATTGGAGGTAACACATGCGGAAAGTGAAACATACGTTTCGGAGACGAAAAAACTAAAAAGTGAAGTATTCGATGAAGATGAAAATTCGGTGACAATCATCGATATATCGGAGACAACAATCACTCGAATGGATAGTAGCTTTGATTCGTCAAGGGCAGATGGAGATCTTAGGCAGAAAATGGATGCTTCTTCGAAGGTTTGTAGACGGAATAAATGTATATTTGTTGTTTTTTTATTGTATTCTGATTTCCTTTTGCAGAAGAAAAAGAAGAAAGACAAAAAGAAGCACAAACACAAGCATAAACATAAGCACAATCGTGAAAAGGATAAAGATCGTGAACGTCGTGAAAAACGTGATCCCAATATTTCACGCCTACAGACCAAGGAGGCCACACCAGAAACATTAAGTTCAGCGGATAGTAGCAACAGCAATAGTAATCCACCATTTAATTTCCATACATAGCATCGGCTTTTTAATCACTCCATAAAGTTTGAATCATTTCTAATGAAAAAATAGTTTCAAAAAATCTAAAGAATACATGTGAAAAAATACACATACAGTGTTAAGTTATGAATAAGTCATATGTACTACATAATGTGGTTTAATGTTAAGATATGTACCGTATAAATAAAGATAAACATAAAACAGACTTATAGCCTGTACATAAATATTACAAATAAATACAAATACAAAAATTAGCTGATTAATTGGTGATTTTAATCCAAAATGTACCTCGTCGTCTAGGGACAGTGGTTTGTGTACATGTAAGAATTTAAAGAAAATAATTAAATAATTTTCATTATTGGAATGAAAGCTCTTGGCGTGTATAATAATAACCCAGAAGGGGCCGTAGGTGAGGAATTTGTGTGCTGTTAACACTAACGTTCATAAAGTAAAAGCTTCATATCTTTCCTTGCAGCTATTGCATATTATTTTTGAGATGATATGTCTTCAGTAAAATCAAATGAGGAATATTTTTGAAAAACACGTCAATAACAAAAATTAGATTAATGCTACAACCCCAATATAAATTGCAGTCCCCGTAATAATTCATTCAACCACCACTCTTTCTTGCCACTACAATTATATAAAAATACCAATTCCATAAACTATGTATTGTTATAAAATAGATTATCATTTTATTTCGCTATGCACTTGCATTCTGTACAAAATAATAATAAGATTATTGGTAACTTCCATAAACAAAAATAATCATAACAGATAACTATAAATTAATGAAAAGAGAAACAATGGGTATAAAAAAAAGAAAAAGTTTTCTTAACTAAGTCGACAGTTTAATACTTTAGGAATTAAATAATATTAATAAGATATTGAATATTTAGTTTTTGTAAATATAACGAAAATTAATATTTGTCGTTTTTTCTTGTTGTTGTTTGTATTTTTTTTCTATTTTAACTAGTTTAAAGTTTCAACTTTGCTTTGTAAATTATCCTCCAAATCAAGTTTTTCGGACTCTTCCTTTGCCCCCATTACTTTCGTTTCGCTTTCGTCGCGCGGACGTCGTTTCGAATTTTCGGGAATCGCTCTTAGATATGTTACACTACCACCACCAATAGCCGACACGGTTTGTTCTTGTGGTTCCGATGGAGAGGAGAGAATTTTCACAGATGGTTCCGATGGCCTAGCTAACAATGAACGTGGATGGGCACGTTGTGTGGCGAGATACTGGGGATGGGGAATCTGATGCTGTTGCAACTGAGCAAAACGCATCAATTGTTCATAATTTACGGGTAGAGCTGGCGGTTGTGGTGGAGGTTGATTACGATATTCAGGATGATCTTTAACGTATTGTTCATAGGGCACAGGTACTGGAACGGGAACTGCAGTTACGGGGTAGCCTGCATCGACTAAGGCTTGAAATTCGGCCTGTGTCAGCGGCTTACCTCCTGGTGGTGGCAAATGTAATTGCTTCAAGTCTTCTATTGTTTTGGGTTTAACGGGACGTGATGGTGTGGCAATACCCGTTCCCTGTGATACATAAATACTAGATTGAGATGGCGATGAGGCGGGAAGTGGTAGTTGACGCAAATCTGTTGGAGCATGATGTGAATATTTCGTGGTAACTGCTGGTGTAGGAGGGACTGTAGGTGGTGAGGCTATATTTCGATGAGGATCTGGTGGGCTGGGATAGAAATGAGTTGGTTCGGCCGGAGCTGTTGATGGCGTTGGTCTTTCAGGCTCGTACAGTATGGGTTGAGCGTATTTGCTTGGGGCTGGATAGTTTACTTCGTTTTGGTGGGTTTTGACTGGGGTGGGTGTTGTTGCGAATTTAGTACCATATTTATGACGAACTGCTTTGGGCCGAGGTGAGGGCAAAGCTTCTTGGTAATAAAACTGAGATGCCTGGACTGGTGGTTGGGCAGATGGAGGATAAACCACTGGGCCCAATTTTTTGGCATCTATAACTTGTTGAGGTACGGGGTAATTACCAACAAGCTGTGGATAATTACCAAGTCGAAATACTGAGGGTATAAAAGGTTGGCTGTTTGCATCGGTTACACTATTTGGAGCCGAGGTGCTGGGGACATAGGCTTTGGCGGAAATTGGGCGAGGTGAGTGGGTTTGAACAGTTGGTGCCGGTGGTGGAGGTGAGGGCGCAACGGTATGTCGGTGATGAGGATGATTTATGAGAACCGATGGTTCATTTGAGTTATCAACTATCTGAACGGGTGATACATGGGGTTTATTCGAGGCAAACAAGTTTTCGATTTCTTTTTCCAGAGATGATTTTGCCAATGGATGATTGGCCAGGGTCTTGTAATTGATTTGAGGTCTATAGTAAGCTATTTGAGGCGGTAGTGATGGTGGAGGGTGTGGTGCTGCTGCAGCTTCCTGTTCGAGTAATTGTTGCTGATGTCGTTGTTCCTGTATGGGATTCTGGGGAAATGGCAAATATTTGGGACCGCCACGTGATCTTGGTGTTTGATATTGTACATATTCCGGCTGGAGTTGTTGCTCATCATCCGCGGTCTCAATACGTTGGCGATAATGACCGAGGCCTTGGGCTTGTTGTGGAGCTTTTTGTTGTGATTGTGCCTGTGCCTGCGACTGAGCTTGTGCTTGAGCATGCTGCTGTTGTCGCCTTACTTGATCTTCATGATATGCCCTGGCTTGTAGTTCTTCTTCTAAAAGTTTTAAAAATTGCTCTTCTGGTATTATCTGATATGGTTGATTGGGTGGTGCACCGCCATTCGGTTGTGGTTGCTGCTGCTGTTGCAATGCAATATGGTAGGGAGTTTGTGGCCGATAGATTTGTCCTCTTGGATGTAGCTGAGCTATTGGTACAGGTTGTTCCACTGCCACTGAATAACGTTGTTCGGCTTCTTCAACTTGACTGTTTGTTGCTGATTCAGATTGATGATTACGAGCCGGTGATTTTTTATTTTGAACAGTTCGAGATTTACCATGGCTTTGTGACTTGTGCTGTTGTTGTTGTTGCTGCTGTCGATTTAAGTCTTGCAGATAGGCATAATGTTGGATCTGTAATGGTAAAGTGGAGATTTGCTTGTTATTATAATAGAGGAGTAAGAAAAAACCATTATATTACATTATTACAGATGTGAACGTTTTTCGAGACTTTGAATTGTATCGTTATGACCGATATGGTGTTATAGGCGATTTCGACTGTATGCCATCTTATATCAAGTTCGTTTCTTAAATCTTTAGTTTTCAATATACCATTTTATCTTTAGACAAGTCTTGCATTGGATAAATTCTCATAGAATATTTGTGTCTTAAGTCTTCAGTTGTCAGTAATTAACTAATTTCCCCCCTAGGTAAGCTAATGATTACCTCTATTAAACTCAATATACAATTGTTTGCTTAATATGAACAAATTTTTTTATTAAAAAAAAAACTTATTTTATATATTTATTAAGACAACAAACTCATTCAGTTAACAAAGTAAGGCTACCAAACAATAGTAATTTGTTGAAGAAACCTTGACCGAAATATCCAATGAAAACAATTTTTTCTTATAAATCATGAAGTTAATGGTGGGATGACAAGAATTAAGAGAAACAAAAAATAAAATAATAATTAGAAGTGGGAACATAAAATGTTAAATGATGATTTCTATTATTACGTAAAGAATAAAATGTGTGATAACTTTGTAATATTTTCACACACACATACCATTCACCGTTGGCCCTTTGCTCACCTGAGAAACTTTTTTGTGAACAAAGACTTCCAATTTGGGTGGAAAACTTTTGTGGGAAGAAAGTCTTTGCGTTTGGTTTTCCATTGTTAATAGTTTTAGTGAATATTTTTTTTTCTTGGCCCTTTTTATACACTTCACTTCTCTATAGTGAATTGAGTCTGAAATGATGTGTGGTGAGTTTCGGAAAACCCGGTTCAGATAGATATAGCTCCAATATAAGTTTTCGTCCGATTTTATGTATCGAATTGTACGAAATTTGGCATAACGTACTGAATTGAGTCTGGAATGATGTGTGGTGAGTTTCGGAAAAACCGGTTCAATAACTTCCATATGTATTTCGAACGGGTGTCGGATTGAAATTAAATTTTTAACAGTGCGGCGTACCGAATAGCGTGTATCAATTTTACTATAAATCGTTTTTCGACTCTAAATCTGCCCGACTGAAATTAAATTTAGTATATGTTGCAGAAAGACATGAGTATGTTCCTTCGAGGGCAAAGAAAAATATGCTGATTCGAAATCTGTTCGCGTTCCCAAAATCGGATGCTGTGCACAAAAGTTATAGCGGTTTTAAATCTTGTATTTCAAATATAAATTAAATAAATTCCTATTTGTTGTAATTCGCGAATTTCTTCACAAATCGATAAAAACATTTATTTTCTTTTCATACTTGTCAAATCACGGTTTAATAGTCGCGAAAACAAATAAAAGCATGAAGATATCTGAAAATAAAATAAATCCTTTTTTTTAATCAAGACAAAACGTTTATTTGAATTTTAGATTTGTAGTATGGTTAAGGAAATGCGGTTCTGCCTTAATCTTCTAAAATATACGACTCTTTCTTCTGCAATTTCTTTAGATGATTGTTAAATATCTGTTGACTCATCTAATAGATATTTGCAACATATACAATACATAAACATGATTAATATTGAAAAGCATGCAATTCGCGTATTCGCGGAAATCAGTTGTTGTGCATGCGGTTTTCGTATAAACTGAATCAATCTCTTTCAATAATTATGAATTTATCGATGTTTCATTTATCGGCCAAAGTGTGCCGCTCGATGCAGTTTACTATGCAAAACCCGTAAGAATGGCTAAAAATGACGCAAATCACATAAGATTTTTATGCGCAACAGATTTCAGTAATCTCCAATGAAAATACACAAAAGTACATCTATTTTAAAAGAATTGGTTAAGAACCTTGGATGCGCCACCACAATCAATTTTGGACAATATAGACCTATTTCACACAGATTCGCGAATATGATAATACTAGCATGAATCTGCGTAAAATCAATTCGAACAAAAACGCGATTATATACGCGAATTTGTCAAAATAAGTTTTTGCAGTTTTTCCTACATTCAAGGTACCTATATCCGCCTTTTTATTGGGCGGAATTGAACATGGCTGGGTTCATTAGATTCGGCACGTAAAAAAAAAACTAAAATCACGCGGGGTTCCACGGCATTTGAATGGACTTTCTTAAATTTAGACTCAAAAAATAAGTTTTTTATAAAAATTTATGTACCAAGTTGTTGTCTATGGAATCCAATTTCAAATAACCTACGGTGGACATATTCATGAGATATACACTAAACGAAGCAAGATCACAAGTTCTGCAATCCTATAATAAGTTTAGCCCATTATTTGGTTGCGAGTCCTGATTATAAGAAAAATTCAAAAAACACCGAAAATCCGGCTTCAAAATCTCAGCATCCTTTTTGGTTGGATGCAGTGATTATATTCAAAAATCATACATTAGAACCATATTGTCCGTGGAGCATTCTTTAACTTAGTCACTGATCACATGTGCGTGCGTTGTGTAGTTTAGCCACAAATCAGGAAGGAACATAAAAAAACTCGTTGGCTTCAACACATTTTCACCCGTTTGTTTACATTACCACCATCACAGCTACCACGCAACTTATTATTTATTACCAATATTCTAAGATTTTGACAAGAACACTTCATTTTATAGAAATTAATTTAAATTATTTGCAATATGTTCATATTTCGCGAGTTATAAGCTTGCAAACCTCAGTTTCAGGGAATTTAAAAGATTTTTGTAATTTCCCATATGAACAATATACTCAAAGTGGTGAAGGGTATCATATAGTCGGCCCAGTCCGACTTTACTACTTTCCTTACTGGTTTGGTTATGCTACTCTGCTCAGAGGTGTCTAAAGTTGGTTATGTCAGATTGAGTCAATGGATTTTAGAATACATTTAAGGGGACCCCCCCATTCTCGGGGTCAAAATTTTTGTTGATATAATTTGAATCTACACTGATTAAAGAATGTCTCTACAAAATTTCAAGTGAAAATCTCAAGAACTCTTCAAGATATAGCCGATTTATTGTGTCAGCATCAAGTGACGACTGAAGGGCTTCTCAAACTTTAAACGCGTTTTTCTCTAAATATTTTTTTGCGAATGGCGGGCACGATAACTCAAAAACTAATAATCCAATCGGTTCCAAATTTTGCAACGTTTCTCTGGGAGTGTATAGCTCTCGTATGAACTAGGATAAAGCCAATCGGTGAAGATCTTCCTTATTTTTTAACTTGGTTTTTGGTAAAAAATCGGCGATTTTCCAAAAATAATTTTTCAAAGGTCCATCATTTTGTTAATTTTAGAGCGAAGTCAATAATCCTAGTTCATGCGAGAGCCAGACATGTACTCTTTCTAATACCGTTGGAATTTTCGGATTCCGATGTTCCAGTGAGGAGTTATCATGCCCGCCATCAAAAATAAGGACTTTTCTTCAATTACAAAAAACAACAACAAAACAATAACAAAAATTTTTTGTAAATTATTTTTCTTCTCTTTTAAATCTTCAAATATATATGTTGAAAGTTACAAACCTTAACAAGCATTGGTATTGATTTACCAGCCCATTGAAATTCTTGAAAAATTAAAATCGAGAATGGGTGGGGTTCCCTTAACGGTAACATGAAAATGAGGAAATATATTGAAGATTTTCATAAAAATTATACTAAAGAATAATTTAAAGTGATTTTTCTTCGATACTGCATTTGTTTTTATTTATAGGTGTGTCTGGTTATTTTTCCAGTAAGATTTACTCAGTAAGTTCTAGTTCAGAGAGAAAGCCGTTTTTACTCTCTTTTGCGATAATACTGAGAAAAGTAAACACACAACATTTAGTAAAATTCTGCAAATAAACAGCTGATTCAAGAAAACATTTTTATTTGCGCCGAAATAAACAAGCAAACAAAAGACGAACACAATTATTTGTATTGCATTTAATATTAAAAATAAAATGAACAATAAAAGAAAAATTGATTTAGTATGTTCCCCGGGAACATTTAAGCTTCCTGCATCAATATATTGTCCTCTTTCTTGAACTTGCCTAAAACTATAATGAATTAGTTTCTAATTTAATTAAACTTGGCATTACTTATGAATTTTCTTCCATTTTCTATAATTTTTATGTAACTTAATATCAAATGGAACTGTGCAAATTAAAAAGATATTTTGAAAATTTTTTGTGTTTGGTCATAAAACAGCTGACCCAAAAATGGCTGAGTTTGCAAAATCTTACTGCATAAAATTCTTTCAGTAAACTCCAGTAAGTTTGTTGTTGTTGAACTGTAAAACTTGCTCTCTCACTTGAGTCTCTTTTACTGGATTTTTGGGTAAACAGACAACATTTGGTAACATTTGGTATCAATTGTTACCAAATATCGAGTAAACTGAGCTTATATTGGGCTTTTATTTTTCAGATATAATATATAATCTATAATATATATAAGAAAGCAAGGATGTATATCGGGTTCAAATAAGTCGATGTCTATAGTGATTTTATTGGGTCTCCGACGAATTTGCCAAGTGAATATGCACTCCAACACGTATATCAATATAAACGTTTATTTTTTAAAGTGTTACTTAACAATTTGCCTCGTTTGTTAAATTGTGGAAAGCTCAACAATGCCACAAAATTCTCATGAACTTTTTAGTTGAAGTGTTAAACACTTTATGTCACACACACACACACCAGCACACACATTAAAGGCGTCAAAAGGGTGCAGTTGCAAGTTGTGATGAGTTGCAGCTACTTGGGCAATACAACAACTGACTTTATATAAATAGATATGTTTGTGTGCACCTCTATTTACATGTGGGTCTTGAGAGTGCCGTTTAATAGGGTCTTTACTTGGGTTTCACATAAATTGTTGCAACTTCTGTTGTCGACGTCGTCGTCATTTTTTGATGTTTGCTGATTCGTTTATTTGTTGTTGTTGTTAGTTGATTGTTCCGTTTTATAATTTGCGGTTTTGTGGTGGTTGTTTATTCACTTTG